TAATTAGGGATATTGGGTGGACATGTAGTTAACCTTCTGAACTGTTTTGCATTTTAAGCTTTCTAGACAATACAGTGTGGCAAAAACAAAAACACTGGCCAATTTGCGGGGAGTTGAGAGCTTTAGCCTTATATATTTATTTAGAAGAGAACACTTTCTGAGTGTTTAGATCTCTTGTGGCTGCTATATCTATGATTTAATTTTTAAGGCCTTTCAACACTGAATAAAAAAAAAAATCAGGTTTTGCGGCCAAAACTATCTAAAAAACGTTAATTTCTAAAGTTCTAATGAATCAGATTGGAGTGCAGCTGCTGTATTTAAACAAAGCAATAATGCAAAATGAATGTGATGCCAAAATATGGTGTCACTGAAACTGTAAGTGAGAATCATAGTGTTCCATAACACAACATACAGCTTAAAGACATCTCATTAGTATGTAGTTAAAAGGATTGGTGGTTTTCCCAAGTCACTTCAAAATCTCATTACAGGAGATCCCCTCTGTATAATCCCCTTGTATATATATATATATATATTTTTTTTTTTTTTTGCAATAGTACATATCGCCCGTGGTAATCTACAGCTTCCCATGGCTTTTCTTTACAATCCCCTATTAGCCTTTAAAATGTCCAGAATGGATTATTCTTAATTAAATAGTTCTAGAAGAATAACAGGTTTATTCAATAAGGCAATGTACATCTGCAAAGACCTGTATATGATTGTATCCATTCATGCTTCACTATTTACTAATATTAATAATAAAGTAAATGAAAACATAGTTGGCGATTGTGCTTGGACTGGCCATTTCTCTCTACAGTACCTTATTAAATGAATTTACTGAAGGAAAGGAAAGAAAAGGAAAGAAAGTACCTGATCTGAGCAATAGCGTTTGTATAGGCAGAGTTATCAACACCCGTATGATATTCATCTGGAGGCATCACACCTATGCCAAGAAGGAGATAAATGTCACTGTAAAGCTGATGATGATTAGTCACTTACTTACACCTACAGAGGGTAATACCCATGTCCGTGCCCCCAGGTGCTAACTGGTGGGAGTTGCAACACTTTTATTCACTCTATTAGAAGAACAATTCAACTGAGGAATGGTGAGGCTTCAACTACTGCATACTTCCAGTGTGATGCAAAGACCTTAGGAACCCATATGATATTAATGAGAGCCACATTAGGTTTGTATAGAGGTGTGTGTGCAATGGATGATTAATGGGAGAAGGAACAACCCCTGTTGTCAGCAGCAGGAAGGTTTGCACAGGGGCTTTTCATATTCTAGGAGAAAGACAGAAAATCTGTTCTTTCATTTAAAGATAACCTGTGTTGGGAGAAAATTGGATACTGCCACTGGAGACACATTTCTGAAAATGTCAGTTAGTTGACTGTCTCTTATTTTTAATCATAAGTCAGACAGAAGTAAAAATTCTGATCTACACTTTTCTTTTTCTTTGTTCTTCCATGGTACAGAAAGTATGAAAGCCACTGGATGAGCCCCTACCCATGCCATCCCCGTCCCCTTGTCCTTTCCCCTACCCCAAGGTTCCCAATTATCCTCTTTATCCTCTTTATTGTTTCCCCACTACCCCCAAACCCCCCCTACCACCACCACTATAACCACCATAAACCCCTCACACCCCACCACCACTCCTGAACCCCTCCATTTGTTTTCTCCCTTCCTCTTTTTTATACCCATCTCTTCCATACTCAGTCCATCCCCATGCTTGACATTGTTTGTTATATCACCCGTAGCCTCACTAGAGCTCCAGCAACCAGTTCCAAGCCAGAGATGATTTCATCCACTACCTCAGATTAGTTGCATTCTCCATTTGGTTTCCTCCTCAATAGAACAATAGCCTCTGCAAAGCTCCCATATGTGGCTGTGACACATGTTCAAAATCTTTATGCCTGCTATACCTAGGAGATGGTACATTAGCGACACCCACACCAAAATCACACCACTATATAAATCTCCATGGCATATAATTCTTTCCAAACAGGTAAATAGTCTTTTACAGCTCCACCAGATTATTGCCTCTGAAATTTTATAGCAATGTACAGAATTTTACCACAAACCATTTGAACTTTGTCAATATTACTACATTTATTTTGAGTATGAAATATTTATTTGTTTTAAATATTTCATTGTATACTAGCCCTGATGAAGGGGGTAGCTTTTTTCCCGAAACACGTTAGCTCCATTTGTACTCTGTGAATTGCATTGATGAATAAATACATTGTAAAGCCTGAAGTGTGACGTCCCAGCATATTGAGAGAGCCGCCTATCTCATCTACACTGGTTGGCATGGCTGTCAGCTAACCTAGATTTTCAAAATCTCTCAGTCGAAGCTCAATTCTCCTTAGCTGGGACCAGCACCATTTCTGTGTAATTATTAATGCATCTCCATGTTCATGCAGCATATTTTCCAAAACAACAAGCATGCTCGACGTTCAGATCAGCTGAATTCAAATATGATGCAAATAAAATGGGTGACACAGCACATTATTTAACCACTTGACATCTGGAAGATGTACCCCCCTTTGCGCTATAAATGAAAAAACACACTGGCAGTGGCGCAACGCGTCGACGTAGGGGTGACGTACTTCCGGTTCCGGGTTCGGACGCCATCTTGGGACTCCTGTATATACCCATAGTATATGGGAAACTGCTTGTCAAATCGTGAACATGTGAGTTTAATGTTCCACTGCATTGGATTACCTTAATAAAACGTTGTTGTACTATGGAGGTCTGTTTTATCGTTTTATATGAATCGCTCTGAGCCTGAGTCCATTGTGTGAGGGGTATTGGATATTATTTACTGCCTGGAGGAGGATCTTGGTCGGAGGTGGCAGTGGAGGAGAGGTTTACCTGGCAAAGTGGAGTAATTGGAGAGGTACTTACTGCCTGGAGGTGGATTATGGTCGGTGGAGGCAGTGGAGGACATCTAACAGAGAGAGATATATAAAAAAGCTCTGTGACCCGCAAGGGTCGAATGTGGAAGGTGAGGGGGCATTTCTGCTATTGAGGGGAGTCACGTCAAGATTTACACGAAGAGCACTATTTGCAGCATGGAGTGACATTATTTTGAACACTTTGCCATTAATTTTCACAGTGTGGCATCACTATTTATTTTAATCATTGTATTTCACTTTCTGCACAGCCCCCACTTTGGGATATAAATCGTTAAAAAATTGCACTGGTTTTATTTAATATTTATTATATTATTAGATATATTTGTGTATTTCATAGGGAATATAGTTAGCGCTTCACCACTTATATGATTTGATTTTATCTTGCTAAAGAACATATAGCAGCTTACTCACTAGGTTCTGTGGAGCGCATTTTATATAATATATATATAAATAATATAATTTTTTTTTCTGCTATAAAACATATCCAATAAAAAAATTTAAAAAATCTAATTTCTTCATAAATTTAGGCCAAAATTAATTCTACTACATATTCTTGGTAAAAAAAAAGAATGGCCCGTATTGGTTTAGTATCGCGACCTCTTGTCCTCGTGGCTTTTGGGGTGCTGATCTGTTGCACATGTTTTGGGCCTGTCCGGCTCTTGCTTCGTACTGGCAAGACCACTTGAATTTTTTTTTTTTTTTACAAAATTCTCCATTTGCCAATTCCATGTATACCAGAAGTTGGCCTTTTGGGTATTTTGAATGATTTTGTACCTCAAACTCAGCATAGAATATTAATACGTATGCTCCTGTTTTATGCTAGAAAACTTGTCTTGTTGAACTGGAAAAGTGTCACTCTGCTCTCTATACAAAGATTCTACTGAATGGTTAATCTTGACCTGCCTAAATACAAGCTGATCTACAAAGGTCGTGCCTGCCCTAAAAAGTTTACAAAAATCTGCCAACCCTGGCTGAACGTAACAGACTCTTTCTGGGGGGATATTCCACTATCACAGTCACTGTCGCATGGTTCTATAACCAGAGAGAGGTTTTTATTTTTTATTTTATAACGTCTACAAATGACGGTATATAAACTGGAATTTTTTTTTAATACTAGTAATGGCGGCGATCAGCGACTTATAGCGGGACTGCAATATTGCGGGGGACAGCTTGACATTGACAGTTTGTGGGAACCAGTGACACTAATACAGTGATCAGTGCTAAAAATATACAAATATACTGTCCCTGTATTAATGACACTGGCTGGGAATGGGGTAAACATCTAGAGCGATCAAAGAGTTAATTGTCTGCCTAGCCATGTTTTTGTACGTAGAGTGTACTGTTTTTACTAGACAATCTGCTAGATTTTATTCCCTGAATAAAATCTAGCAGATCGCCATTGGCATAACACAGCTCTGCCTTGTTTACATATGCAGAGCTGTGTTCTGTCAGTCTCTTCGGCAATTAACAGGTGCTCATCCATTAGCCAGCACCTGTTGATCAGCTTCTGCGGTGCTCTGGCAGCAGATGAATGGTGGAAGTGCAAAATCACATTTATATATGTGATTTTGCACAGAACGTCTGCCTTGTAGCAGTAAATCTGCTACAGGGCAGACAGCAAGTGGTTAAACAGATTTGCTTTACAGTTTTTCATTAAACCTGTTCCACCTCTCTTTCATTACCATTGTGATATTTATTTTCCTCAAATTATACTTGGCACATCATGACATGTTCTTCTTCCATATGCAAGCCTACCTCACAACAGTGAACATGTCACAATCTCCTATAAAATTAGAACATATGTTTATTACGATGACTGGGGATTCAGCAAAGTTGATTTTAAGCTTACGTTAAAGGAATATAATGGTCCTGGTTGGTATTAGCTACCCTTGTACAGATCTGGGTCAGAAATGACACTAGTAATGACTAAAACAGCCCTTTAAACTTTAGAAGACGGTTGACTGTTGGAGCACATCAGAGCTATTTATTAATTTGTAAGCTCAGCCAAGTAGTACACAGTGACTTAGGTAGACATGCCACCATGCCTCATTTTAGATTCTACCTTTTATATGATAGTTTTGTTCCTCTTTACTCCATACCACTCTACTGCACCAATAGTCTGCAATTGAACTCACGACATCCCAGCCTCCACTCGAAACAAAAAAATCTAAATCCTGAAATAGACAAAAAGAGCTGTTACAGTGGAACTGAACTCAAAAAGTGAAGATCCTTAATATGTAAATTGACATTTCTCTTCACATACCTTTGTAATTTCATAGTATTGCTTAAATGCCATCATAACATCTCCATTGATGTGAATTTCTTGATCACCATAGATTTTCTCAGGACAAACTTCACATCCTGTTACAGCACTTTCCCAGGGGAAACTTGGCACCCTACAATTTGAAGTTAAAAAATTATTTTTCTTTTAGCATGCAAACATTAACTAAATTAAAACTTTGGTTTAATTTATATGACTCGTGTATATGAATGTATGTCAGTCAACACTGTGCCATCTTTACACAAATGTATTTCCTGCTCTAGACAATAACATGCCTTGTCCCCCTCTGTCTGTTCTGCCTGTTGGGCACAGAAAGGTGTATAGGAATTCTCTGGCACCAACGCATAGAGAAGCTAGTGGTGGAACTTAACTGGGGGGAGCATTGTACAAGGATTGGTGAATGGCAAACTAGAGGAATAGAAGGATATAGGAATATTATGTAGTGCCCCTCTAGATAGCCAGGGGGAGCTAGTTACTTTTTTTTTATAATTAGGCTGAGTAGCAGCCTGAGCAATAGTCAGCTGGGTCAACCTTAGGTCAGGGCTGAGAGGCTCTGCAGGTCATTTCCCTGGAGAAGATTCTAGAGGCAGTGGGTGGAAGTGAGCATAAGCTGGCCTGTACAAGGGACTTGTGCCTGAGCCTGCTCAGCAGCAGGAGAGTTTGGGTGGAAGATGTGAGGAAGGCTGAGATGCAGGAACTTGGGAGGGGCCTACCTACAGGCTGGGACCTGGAAAGGAGGATCATTCTGCCTCATTGGTCCCCGGATCTGTGGAGCCAGGAAAGGAGTCAACCCAGTAGAAGTCCTGAAGGCAGCCACAAACTCAACCAGCTCACAGACAAGAACTGAGTGAGTAATCATGTATCCCCTGAGCCAAACAAGGGGAGAGGGCATCCTGGTGGGAAACCTGACTAGCTCTACACCCAGGACTATTATGTTTAAAGTGGTGGCTTTGGTTCCCTTTGTTCAGGGATTCCTCCAGACAGCTGGGTAAAGAAGAGGATATATATGGGGTGGTACACCAAGAGAGGTGGGAAGGCTCTGCAAGAAGAGAATTTCCTATTGTAGACTTGTATACAGTTGCCAGGAAATTGTCCTCAGTTTACTGTTCCTTGGGCATCCCATACACCCCTTACCCCATCCAAGTTCAATACCCCTAATAAAACTTAAAAACCAAGCTTAAGGACTGTTTATTGCCTCCAGAATGCAAGTCTGTGGATAATGCGTGTTGCCTGACTGTGCAGGACTATAGGGGGACCCAAAACTTTAGCAACTCCTACAACGGTAGTGCTACAATTATACTAACTGTAAAAATCAATTCACCTGCTTTCTCATAATTTTATTCAGATGAATCATAGTTTGGCTTTTGAGCTGCTTTAACTGACAAAATGTGTGTGATTTACACACCTCTGCCTCATTACAAGGTTTAGTGGACCCTTTGGGGGTTATTTACTAAAACTGTAGAATGCAAAATCTACTGCAATTTTGCACAGAAACCAATCAACTTCCAGGTTTTATTATTAAAGATTAATTGAACAAGCTGACGTTAGAAGCTGATGGGCTACCATGCACAGCTGCACCACATTGTGAGTGCACCGGTTTTAGTAAATCTACCCCATTGTGTCACCAACAAGAGGTGCAAAACTCTGTCTAAGGTGCAACTCCAATATTTCTGAAGCATGAACAATGCAGATATTACACTGGGAGCACACTGGAGTGCAACACATGACTAACTATTTTTTTAAATGTTGTGTCCCTTTAACATTTGATTTTGGAATAAATAGAATTTTCTGAACAAAAAACCACATATTTGAGAAAAAAATGTAATCTTGCTCCCTCTAATTTTGGAAAATGACTCCACTAGTTAAATAGAAAATTGAACGAAATTTCTTAAAATAAAAATTTTCACACAATATTCTACTAGTGTAATGGGCAGCTTTACGTGAGGGTGATGGTATTTGTAGTTTTACACAAGAAAGAGAACACAAATTTGCTTCCAATGCATTTCACAAGAAGGGACAAACACTCGATTTCTGGCAAGTACTTGCAAAGATAGTTTTCTGTAATTGCAGCTATTGTGTCAATTATAATCAATTACATATTTGTTCTTGGGCTTAGATACACTTTAACTGTAGTAGATAAAATTCAGATCCCTGCTCTGCCATACAGGACTGTGAGAAAAAGTTGTGTAAGCTCAAGTCATTTTATTTTCATATAAACAATGTAAAAAATCCACATAATATATATGGTACTCACTTTGTATCCTTGCTGTTCAGCATTCTGCATTGCTCCTGCCAGTGTCTGAATCCTGTATTTAAGTATATGACGGGCCATCTCTGGATAAAACAGCAGAATGTTCGGATACAGCCAAGTGTCCTTTTGCAGTGCAGACAAAATTGATATTTTAGCAAAAAAAAAACTTGGAAAACTATAAATTAATTTATACACAATGCTAAAGACAATTGTTAATCTAAAAACACTTTACAATGTGAAAGGTGACTTCTGATACTAAATTGTACAGTGTATGCAATTTCCATGATGAGCGCATAAAAATGTCAGGGCACCAAACTATACCTGTAAAAAAATCTGACAGTTCTAGGACTGGTTCACACTAGGAGTCACACAGGAATGAGCCCATGCATTTTGAATAGGCTAAATCTCACTGGACTGCAAGCGGATCACATGGTACTTCTGTACCATGCAATATGGGTGTAGGCAAATGCACTACATTTGGGGTGTCATTAACTTACATTGATGTTGTCTTATCTCATGCCAAATATAGCAGCAAATATAGCATTTCTTTTCCCAGAGAGATTTAATGGGCTCAACGACAATCCATAAAACAGAGTTGATGACCAGTGTATATTTATAAATGTACTTTTCTGCAGCAACTAGTCCAACAGTTCTTTTCCATAGAGATGCATTTAATCTGTTCAGCGGCAGTTCATAAAAAAGAGGTACAGATAAGGCAGATGACAGGGTATTAAGAATATTCATGCAACCATCAGAAACCCTCAGAGGACTCACTTTCTCACAAGCACTCTGATTGGCCACTTTTAGGAGCCCCTTTGATCTTCTGGGTGACAGGTAATGCCTTTTGGGCTTGGACAGCTGTAGTCATAACTCTAATCAAAGTTGTCTAGATATTTCCTAAACTACATTCTTGTACTAATAATTAGATGTTACCCTTTGAAGAATACTATTTACCATACTTAATACACCTTTTCATGTTATTAGATAGTAGATGTTGACCAAGTCCTTTCAATTCTGACTGAGCTATCTGCATTTTATCACCCTTGCAAGTTTACAAATCATCTCTTTTGAAATGTAACAAGTTGGCCCCAAGAACCAAGGTGATATTGCATAAAATTAACATAGCAAAGAGTCCTTGGCTATGCTTTTGTTGTGTAAAATACATCTAGCTCAGTCCTATCCTGGCCTGCTCAATAACCTGAGAATACACCACATACAGTGTGTGTGTGTGTATATATATATATATATATATATATATATATATATATATATATATATATGTATTGTCCCCCCCCTATTGTACAGCGCTGAGCAAACCCTTTGGCGCTATATAAACGTAGTAATATAATAATAATAATTACAATATCCCTACAATTGACACCTGCTGCAGAACACAACTGCAGTGCGTTTTGAATGCAGTGCAGGAAATGCATACACAACATAAGTTTCCGACACCATATTCTGCTGTGAACAGGCACCTATTTTACCTGAAACTGAGTTCTTTGCAATCCACTAAAACCAAATTTAAGAGATTAAATTACTGATTATTTCCAAAGCCTGTGCTTTCTTCATCATTATTATTTATTACAGTTACTTATGTGGTGCTATCAATTTACATATAAATTGTACATCCACATCAGTCCCTCACCATCAAGGAGCAAACAATCTAAGGTCCCCAACTCAAATTCATAAATACTCATACACAAATTTACCTACCAGCATGTCTGGAGTGTGGGAGGAAACCCACGCAAGCACAGGGAGAACATGCATACTCCAGGCAGGTGGTGCCATAGCTGGGATTTGAACCCTATGGCTGCCAGGCAGAAGTTGTAACCATTCAGCCACTGTGCTGCCCTTCCAACCACAATCAAACATCTGGGCAACTTTACACCCTGATGGTGGCTGTGAGAAAATTCTTTGTTCTAATTATTTGTGATACTTTGCTTTCCATACATGAGAAACAGCTAGGGGCTTTCAATGATTGTGTTTGGGAATGCATTTCCTGCATCACAAGCAGGGGTTCTCAAATCACCAGACTACAGATGAAATAAACTAGGACAAACTGTGTTCTATAGAAATGGTTAGATAAAAAACTGAAATACAGAGCAGGTAGGCTTTGCTTCTTCATTCATCTCAAAGTTTAAAGCATAACTCCAAAAAAAAGTTTTCTTTTTTTGCAAACATCACAAGTCAAACAAGTAACCTTCAATGGTAATTATGCTGTGCGTGGATCTTTGCCCTGTAAAAATCCTAGCTTTGCTGACACCAAAAACTACAGAAAGCCACATGTTTTGTACAGTAAATGGATCCTCTCCCTTGTCTGTTCACAAAATACAGGATGCTCTGTAAATAGACAAGGAGAGATCCTTTTTTTTTTGCTGGCTCAATTTCTTTCCTTGTCCATTCACATAGTACCTTGTATTCTGTGAGCAGAATAGAAGGCATTTTGTGAATGGATGGTGGAGATTAAAGGGTAGGTGAATGACAGGATCCCTGTATTGTACAAGACCCACAGTTCTCAGTTGCAGTGCCAAAAAAAAAGAGGAACTGCCTGTAGTTTCCGGCATCAGTGAAACTAGAATTTTTACAGTAAACAGCAGAGATCTATACTTGGAATAATCATTAGTGGTAATTTGTTTGACTTTTGCTGCTTCCAGGTCCTGAGCGTGGGCTGTTGTCATTGGCCAGGTGGGGATGGCATCATTCTTGCACATGTGCAGGAGTTCAGTCAAGTTCATTGCCGAACTTGTACAGTGAGCTGCACATGCATGGCTCACTGTACAGAGGCGGACAGACAGGTAAGTAGCTTTAATGTAGAATAGACAAAGCATGTCTCTTCTGCATTTTAAATCTGCTTATATTTTGCCTTGCATGGTTCCTTTTTCCTTCCTTATCACCATGCCCATGGAATATTTACTAATAGCATTTCCATTTTCAGAGATACCTTATTTAGACCCTGTTACATTATAACTGGGTTCCTGTACTTCTCTGAGCAATGTAGACAGATCATGGCTGGTGGGAGGGGCCACAGTGGTGCTGTATATAGCTTTCTGAAAACATAACAGTATCCTTCAGCCCTGATACAAGAAGTTTGCTGGCTCTTGGGAGGAAATATGTAAATATCAAAATTCCTTGATTGGTGAATGTGAGTCTGCAGAAGTGGGTGTTCCCAGACAGACTGTATTTGCATGGAGACTGCTTTAAGCAATGCCCACATGTGATACTGAGCCTCTATGATTGAAAGAACTGAAACCCAATAAATGAAAGGGGTGTGGGCAAGAGACATTCAGGCTATGGAATAAAGGGCTAGATAATGCTGGACGTTCTGCCAGAAAATGAGATGGGCCCTATCTGACTTGCTGCAGCTTCTAAAGCACACAGTAAGAATCTCAGTTGTACAGACTCCTCTCCACAGGACAGGAATCTGTACAACTGTGCATGACCGAAAGGAAAAGTTGGAGTTTAGCTCTAAGCAGTGCTAAATAAGGCTTAAGAGTGCATTCACAGCCACGAATGCTTCTGTACTCTGATCAGATGTGAAAACCCCAGCAGAGGTTTCTGCGATTAGCTGTGGGAGGCAGCTCCGTTGAAAGCAATGCTAATTGTGGCTACTCGCATGTCATTTTTCATGCAGCAATCACGGGCAGACTGCTGATCACTTGTATGTGATCACTAGCAAACAATCCAAGCTTTAGAAAACAAATGAGGTTCTGTTTGTGCTGCACCAAAAAGCCAAGCAGTTCTGAGTCTACTGGACACTTTTTTAACTGTCCTACGGCTGCTCAGCATCTGATCAAGAGTCAGGGGAAAATGATTTCCAAAGCTTGCCATGACTCCCGAATTACAGAGTTTTCCACATTTTTGAAGAAAGCATACAATGCCTGGTTATTTCATACCTAGACGTACCTGATCCCAGAAAACATGTCCCCAGTAATCTTCATTTCTTTGACCATTAGAGAGACCTCCAGGGCTAATTCCATTGAACATTTCATTACAGCCCAACGGTGGTAAGGAGCTCAGGAGATAATAAAGACAACCATAGACAGCCTGTCTGAGAGCCAGAGATGCTTCCATTTCTATCCAGCATCCCTCCCATAATTGTGTCCAGGAATCTTCATGTGAGGAGTACAGCCGATTCTCATCAACCAGAGTAAGACCCTCCGAATATTTCTTCTTCACCTCCTGTTCTGTCTCAGCTACCGCTGTCAGGAACATCCAAGACTTCTCCTGCTCAGAAGACATGACTAGACACTCCGGAACTGGGGTGCAGATCATATGGACAGACTTTAGTGGACAAGATTTAACCTCTGGTACCTTTGTGCTTCCATAGATGTACCTAAATAAAACAACCATATATAACTTTTAAATTACAATTAATTAGGTTTTCTTCACATAACTACTTTGAAGCATTTTCACACACAAAAAAGTATTTTATTTTTCCTAAGAAATTCATTCAAGACCATGTTGTAAAAATGAATACACCCCAATGAAAGTCTTAGAGCAAAGCTAAATTTTAGACAACAATATCCTAAATAACAAGAATTCAACTACAGGTGAACTACTAATTCATTAAACAGGTGTCCAGCAGACAGTTGATTATAAAAGGGCGTTACTTAACAAAGAAAACCCCTTCCCATTCCATGCTGTCAGCAATGGCACCACATGGAAGAGAAATGTCACAAGGCCTGAGAAAGAAAATAATTTCTTTACACAAGAAAGGTGAAGACTACAAGAAGATCAGCAAAGCTTTACTTATCAGTCAAAATACTGCAGCAAAAGTGAAACAAAAATTTAACAAAGGTGGAACTGCAACCATCTCACAGAGATGTCCAGGCTGTCTATGGAAGTTACCACCTCGACAGGAGTGTCTTCTGATGAGAAGAGTGCAGGGGCAGACTGACAACTCATGGGGCCCCAGGGCAATAGGGGATCATGGGGCCCCTGTGTCCTTGCCCAAACTCAAAAAAGCCTACGAAAAAGGTACCAGGGGCATCTCATGGGGCCCCCTACTGACCCCGGGCCCTCGGGCAGTTTCCAAATGGTCAGTCCGCCCCTGGAAGGGTGGAAGAAAATCGCCATGCAAGCTCACTGCAGTTAACTAAATAAATAGAAAGCCAAACTGGATGATTGTTTCCCATGACATAATATGGCGTACAGTGCAGAGGAACAGCATGCATGGGTGTTGTTCACGAAGGAAGTCTCTCCTAAAGCCCGTACACAAGTATGTCTCCTGATCTGAACCCAATCGAACATCTATGGGGAATTCTGAAGAGACAAGTGAAGCATTACTCGCCATCCAACATCCAGGCTCTAGAAGAGGTCGTTCTTGAAGAATAGAAAAATATAGATGTTGCAATATGTCACCAACTTGTTCATTCCATGCCTAGAAGACTTGGTGCTGTCCTTACAAATCATGGAGGTCATACAAAATATTAGATGTAGTAGTTGATGTTGTGGGGTGTATTCATTTTTGCATCAACTACTTTGAGTAAAACTGAAGCTTTTTGTAATTTAAGTTATATTTAACTAACTTTCATGTAATGAGCTAAACAAATGTTCTATAAAACTCAGTTTTTTAAAAATTTGGGAAATTGTTCTTGTATTCATTGAGATATTGATTAAAATTTTGCTTTTCAAAAGGGATGTGATGTTATGCAGAGCACTGTGTATGTATATGTATAAATAACATTAAGAAACTGGTAGTTATTATTTGCAATTTGGTTTAAAAAAAAAGAAAAGGGCTGTTCAGTCTAAAATGCCCGTGCCTATTTTTTGTCCCATTCCAGGCCGTTTACGATACATTCCATGCCCTTTAGGCACATTTTATTTGTATTAGCATTTATGAATTGTGTATTGTATTGGTTCCCACATCAAAGAGAGCTGATTTTAGCTGGCCTTGCTGAAAAAATTATGTGGAAAGGATACATTGTATAAAGTCCCATTTAGGCACATTTAAAACTCATGCCAAGTGTATAGTTCAAAAATACTCTGTTGATCTCAGATTATTACATGAAATGAATCAATTACTCGACAGTCCCATATCTGCAAAAACATTTATCAAGATCAAGAACTTTGGTATACTCACTGAGCATTAAAGTAATCAGGACCTCTCTGAAGATCTAGATCTTCACTTACTGCCTTAAACTGTGTTTGAAGATTGACATTAACAGGACTGGAACCCCTTGTGATCTTTAAAGATATGATGTTGACCAAGAGATGTCTGTGGGAACGATGAGCAAAGATCTGTTGGGTAGCTGTAAATGAAGAGCACTGGATGGTATGGCTGAATGTACCTAAAAATTACCAAGAAAATATTGTGTGAAGAAATGCAGAGCAGTAATGGAGATACAGCAAAAGAAATGGTGTCCCTCTTGTGAAAGCCCAGATCTGCATAGGGTGGGTAGCTAGCCAGTCAAACAGTGCATAGGTAGGCTGCTAAGATAACTGGTCACTATTACAGGATACTCTGTTTCAGCTTAGATGCCATCTCTGCTACACAAGACACCATACAAATTCAGCTTTGAAGATTCTGCTCACTTCTAATTTATGTGACCACATATAAAGTGATTTAATCTATTTACCAATGGGTACACAAATAATAAAATACATACTGTATGTATGTCTAAGTCATGCTTCTGCCAAAAAATAAAAGTATTAAAAAACGGAACAAAAGTGGTCCAGATATGGAAGTGTACAGTATATGCTGTATTTTCCATTAGAAGCATGAATAAGGCAATTACATACATAAGATACAATGATATTGGCATAAATAGGCTAACCTGGTAATACCACCAACAGGACATACAAAGAAATAAACATCTTGTCTACATGGAAAAACTGAAACATTTGTTACCAGTTCTAATATTTAGAGAAAAGGTCTCTTCCATAATTTCTTCTTTACTAATGTCAAGCTGGACGTTGAGAGGACTTGGGACGTTTGCTCTGTGACAGTCACCTACTGACCCATTGTACACTCCATTCACATGCAGGACATCTCCGTAGACTCTTGTCCCCAGATATCCATTAGCCAGGGTTGCCATAAGACGAGAATCTGAAGGTAATGATTTGGTAGAGAATATCCAGGGACCTTCTTCCATGTTTAGTGATGTTATCTTGTTAGGAGACTCCAAAAAGATAAAAGGAAAAATGGTAGCCATTTATTATTACAGTCAAACAACATATTTCTTAAATATCAGTAGCTTATGTAGCACTCCCCTAGTTAGCTAGGGGGGGGGGGTTAGCTGATTATTTTTTAGTTAGAAGGGCTGAGTAGCAACCTGGGCAATAGTCAGCTGGGTCAAATTTGGGTCAGGGCTGTGAGGCTCTGCAGATAAGTTCCTTGATACCTCCCCCTGCTCTTGGAGCAGATTCTAAAAGCAGTGGGCTGGGGTGAGGAGGGGATGATCTGTATACTCAAGGTACTCTGGCCAATCCCCAGGCAGGAGGCTTGGCATGGGACAAGAGCAGCCCTTAAGTATGACTGAGCCTGCTCAGCACCAGGAGAGTTCGAGCAGAAGATTTGAGGAAGCTGAGATGCAGGAGCCTGTGGGAAGGGGTCTACCTACAGACAGGGTGCTGGAAAGAAGACCACCTGTAGAGCCAGGAAAGTAGCCTGTAGAGCCAGGAAAGTAGCCAGCCCAGCAGAAGGCCTGAAGTCAGCCACTTACGTAAATCTGCTCGCAGGACTGAGACTGAGTGAGTAGTCCTACACCCCCTAGGCCAGTTAAGGGAAAAAGAGCACTTTGGTGGGAAACTTGATTAGCTCCTTACCCAGGACCATTTAATATAAAGTGGCAGGCACTGGATTTCTTTGCCCAGGGATTCCCTCAGGCACCTGGATAAGAAAAAGATTATCTGGGGTCTGTGGTGGTACACCAGGAGAGGATGGAGTGCTCTCCAAAAAGAGTTTTTGCTGTGTAAAGACTTGTACATAGTTGCTAAGGAGTTTTTCCTGGGTTTGCAGTTCCATTGGGCATCCCATACACCCCTTACCCTATCCAAGTTTAACACCCCTTAAAAAAAACATGAAACCAAGCTCAAGTACTGTTTACTGACTCTGAATGCAAGTCTGTGGAATGTGCGTGTTGCCTGGCTGTGCAAGACTATAAGGGGACCCAAATCTTCAGCAACTCCTATGGGGGTAGTACTACACTTATAAGATGTTCAGACAGAAAATATTTGCCATAAATTTGGCTATAAGCAGGGTGGTCTGACCTGCCTCTGGACTACTCCTTCCTGTTATGTCTGCTGCCTACCTTTGTTACTGACTTCAACCTGGCCTCTTGACCAAGATTCTGCCTATTAATTCAGTACCTCATTGCCTGCATGTTGTCAACTTCTGCTCATCTCTGACCTTGATCCTCCTCATGATTTGGTTAAGTTCAAGTCTGCAGTTCCAGCTTCCTGCCACTTGCACCCTTCCATTGCTCTAGCAGTTCCTGTCTCTAACTCCAGGGGTGCTTGGATAGGAGTTATGCAAGAGGCCACCTTCATCATCTCAGGCTCCTACTGCGGGTACATGACAGTTCCCTTGTTGTGGCTCTGAGTATTCTGAGATAGGGGAAGACTGGGAGCACCTCACTTTGATCTGAGCTGGGTCCTATTATAATGAGGGAGGTCAGAGAAAGTGCTATCTGTAGCATCATATATGCACTTTAAGAACTGTTGAATGCGGCACTGTACCAAGCCAGAAATCAGACCACTGAAGGTAACCTATATTATTATGATTATTGATTATGCCAATAGATTGCCTTCCTGTGCATTACAAAGGGAGACAGAACATGTGACAGAACAATACCCCAAAAATGAGGGGAAAGGGCCCTGCTCTTTCGAGCTTATCATATTATTATGACTTCTTTTTAGTAGAGCCTTCCGTGCCCAAAGTGTACAGTAACCCCAACAATAAATGTATCATATTCTTTTAGTAGTTAAAGTACTACAGGTACAAAAAAAAACAAAACAAATATTTTCTGCTCTATTGGTTTTGAAAAGAGCAACCCGATCCTCCTCTTCTTTGGTCCCCTGTTGCCACTCCTGGCTCCTCCTCTGCGGTAAGTGCCCCCATAGGAGCCATGTGCTTACTGGCACATTATAGTAGACTTACCTCTAAAATGGAGCCCTCCAGCACTGCATTGTCACTCTTTGCAGTCTACTTTCTGGGTTCATGCTCTTGAATGGCTGAGCTGCAATTATGTCACTGCAGGGGAGACATAATCATGGCTCAACGCTCTTCATTCACAGCACACTCAGCATTGCCCTGAATGCAGAACGTCACTGTGTATAAGCAGTGACGTCATCAACCACAGTCAATGTGAACATTTCCTAAATGGCACACGTTTTGGAGATATTCACTGTACCTACATGTAAAACTATAGATGATTAGATTTTTTTCTCCTTCCAACATGGTGGAAGGAAAGAAAATCACTTGATCTCTCCCATCAGCCCAGTCAGGGTTGATGGGGGAATGCCTCTGGCAATGCCTTCCCAGCTGGTAGAATACAATGATTAAATCACATAAAAAATCCTCCTGCGCTCTTATGGTAAGTGGTGAATAAAAAACTAACTAAAAAGCAGCCAGCATCTGTCCCATACCAAACAAGGGCAATATGAATAGAATGTAAAGTTGATGCAGCGCTAAAAGACTAAAGCCTAAATACAGTATATAACCAGATAGTAAATATGAGTAATAACATGACCCAAAAACCACCTAGGGATAAACAGAAAAACAATGGCCCTTAATAGACTAGTAACAGTGGTTAAGTGCAGGATAAGGTGTCCATAGTTCATACAGGAGTGTAAGTGAATCACAGCACACTTCAAAGAACGTGACCCCGGGCAGTCTTGCTGCAATGGCCTCTCACCTCCACTCTACGACCCTACAGGGCCATAAAGCGTAATGTAGATCACCACGGAATCCTCCAATTCAGGGACTCTTTAGATAGATTGGCATCACATAAACAGGGACAGAATTCCTCCAGGCCAGTAGGTGAATAGAATAGACTCTCCTCCGATGTCACAACCGCTCATATGCTCATAAATGAGGAGATAAACACAATCCTCATAGTGTATTACCGCTTTATTTGAGTATAGACAGCAAACAAAGAAAGAAGGTAATACACTTACATAACAAACGGCTTGTATGGAGATGCAATGCTGGGTGTACAGCAGGATCAAAAAGGTGCACCAAGATGGCGTCACGCCGGAAGTGCGTCACCACGCTATTGCCGTCGACGCGTTGCGTCACGTACCTCGTGACTTCATCAGGACAGCGTGATTGGCCGGCGGCACTTCCTTATAAAGGCCAGGAGCCGCACCCATCAAGACCACAATGGGCGGTGCGATCGCGGCCATATTTTAATAGTCCAGCATGCCAAAAAAGACCCAGGCAGCCATATACATGTAGTCTAATAAGGACAGACCTTCTCCCATTAGGTCTAGCAATCCTAGTGAAGTAATACACTAAAAAAAAACAACACACATCCATGTCTCTCCATAATCAACACATAGAGAGACTAATATATAAAAAAATATATATAAAAATGTATATGAATGTAGAAAAACACATTAATTTAATGAAAATCAGAAAAAAAATATAAAAACGAGCATAACCATATAATGCCCTATACAAAATACACTAAAAAATATACGAATAAAAAATATATATATATATAAAAAAAATATATATATATTAAATAAAAAAATGATGAAAAAACGCTCCTTTGTAATCCTGCATGAACTCTTTACATCAAGTACTAAAACACACATTATATCTACATAGAAGAGGTTATCGATCACTGATAAAACAGTTCAAGTCGAACTCAATATTGAGTCCCGTCGGGGCAAATGTATCCATGAGAAAAATATATTTTGATTCTATCTGACTTAAAGATCTCACTTTGTGGGACCCTCTCCAATGTTTCTTGTATTTCTCGACTCCCCAAAATTTAAGACCAGAAGGGTCTTGATTATGGTATAGCCGAAAATGATTGGATAGACAGTGTTTCGGGAAGCCCTTTTTTATCTTCTGAACATGTTCTCTCAACCGGACCCATAAAGGTCTTTTTGTCCTTCCCACATATTGCAAGCCACATCCGCATTGGAGAACATACACGACCCCCTCCGTTCTACACGATATAAAGTCCTTAACTTGAAAAAACCTACCATTACTAGTAGCTGAAAAGGAACTCAATCTAGTGTTCGAACCCCTGGTGGCTCTACAGGCATAACAGGTCTTACACGGGAAAAACCCTTTATAATCAAGAAACGTAGCCATAGGACTTTTAATAGGGGGGTTCAATACACTACGAACCAATTTGGACCTAAGGGAAGGAGCCTTCCTGTATATGAATTTAGGTGTAGCCGGTAACAATTTTGAAAAAATGGGGTCGGTTATTAGAATGGGCCAATAACGTCTGAATACACTTTCTATCTGTTTATAATTACTGGTAAAATCCAGAATAATCGCCGTGTGGTCCCTCAAATCTTCTGTCTTGGGTTTATCAACAAGAAAGTTACTCCTCATCGTTGTTCCCACTTCTACGATCTTATTTTTGATCATTTCTCTAGAATAACCTTTGCTACAGAATCTCTCTTCCATAATGTTAGCCTGCTCATAATATTCCTTGATATCTGTGCAATTCCTTCTAAGTCTGACCAGCTGTCCTTTTGGGATATTCATCAGCCAAGAAGGGAAATGGCAACTATCTAATGGAATGTAACCATTCCTATCTACTTTTTTGAAAAAACTCATATTTACTATCTGGTTATATACTGTATTTAGGCTTTAGCTTTTAGCGCTGCATCAACTTTACATTCTAAGAATACAATGATTACTGCAAGTGGCAGTGATCGCATATAGAAAAATCCGACAGGCTCTGGTTGTGCCCAAGACGATCGATTAATTGATTTGAGTAGATTTTTTTCTACTTCCAGCACACTGGAAGGAAGGAAAATTACTTGATCCCCCCATCAGCCCAGTCAGTGTTGATGGGGGAATGCCTCTGGCAGTGCTTTTGTGTTCTGCTGGTGGGGGGATGCGATAAGCCTTCCCAGCTGGTAGAGCACAATGATTACTGCGAATGGTAATAGCTGCTGGCAG